CCATGTTTCTCATGCCTCAAACCAATCTCCTGTTTTGTCTTGAGGTCCTAAAAATCACATGGAGAGAAGGTTACGGAACAATGTAATGACCGAGTTACTTGACTCTCAAATAATAAATAAAAGGAAAAATTATGAACAAACAAACCAGAAGCCATTGGTATAGTGTGAGTAGGATGAAGATCACTAGTTCCATGCACTGGTCGAGAAAAGCCATCAAGTAGCACAATATGTGAGTGAGATGAACGTAAATTAGAGAATAAGGACGATATATCAAACATATAAGTACAAACTCTTGAATCAATGATCAAAAGGACGAATAAGGTTTAACAACCACACATACTGAGTTGATGATAACCACAACTAGAATGACCCCCACGTTGACCACGGCCAGACCGACACGATAAGATGGACCACTTTAACTACCGCGATCATCACCACAACCACCATTCAAGTGTGCCATAACAAAGAAAAAAAAACACAGTCAACTATGCAACAATAGAAACTAATCCTCAACCACACAAATAATAAAAAATGGAGCCAAAGAAACTGCTCCAGATGCTCAAATCACCGTCACGTCGAAACCACAAACAACCCAATGAAGACAAACACAACAATAGTCATCAAAAAATAACACATACACCAAAAAAAAAAAATAATGATCAAAACCACAGACCTGGAACAATCTACAATTTTCAGCCTCCAAATAGTAGTGCCGAAGGTCGGAACAGTTTAACACTGTTGAGGTGAAAAAATAATGCTGTCAGACTAAATAAAAACACATCCAATTACACAAATTGCGTCGGTAGAAGGCTACAAACCACAAAAGATTAACAATCACACTATAAGACATATTGTTCAGTGTGTTTTCCATAACCAAAGAACCTAGCTGAAGAACCCAGGGAGTAAACACATATGGTAGATGTGTCTATGGAATGACACACCGGTTGGAGACAAGTTAAAAAAAAGGGCGAATTGCACTTTACACCCTGAAAGATTTAGAAATTCCTATTTTTCTCCCTCAAAGATTAGATTTTTCACATTACACCCTTAATTTATGAAATGTGTTGTAATGTGGTTTTTCTATTAGTTTTCGTTACTTATTTCTTCAACATCAATGAGGTGAGTTTTGATGGAATAAATAACAGAAGATAACAGAAATGTCATATTGTAACACTTTTAATATATTGAGGGTCCAATGTGAGAAATTTTATCTTTGAAGGTGTAAAGTGAGAAAGTTTAAATCTTTCAGGGTTCAAAATGAGACTTCTCCAGAAAAATAATATAAAATTGAGGTCTTTATGTGTGTTGTTGCTAACAGCAAATCCAAATTGTCTCTTTCTTTCCATCCGAACTAAGACATAATTTTTTAGTTGCTAGGAGAGAGGATACCTTTTCCCTCTTATTGTCCTTTTCCTCTAATTTTTTACTCAACCCAAACAAAGGAAATATATTCTTTCCATCCAATTTTCCCTCCCTACTTCCCACCATACCAAACATCCTATTAGAGAAATTTTTTCTGGTTTTGTTGCAACAATGTAATAAAGATAACTTGTTTTGTGATGCTTCTGAATTTGCCAAGCATACAACAAAATTCTTATCATAGTAATAATAATAGAAGCACTGTTCCATTTATGACTTTTCAATCTGATGTATAGGAACCATCTCATGTGATTTCTTTTGCTGGATATTGATGATTTGTTACCTTCATTGATTGCTACATTTGGGTTAATTAGGTTTATTTGTTGTATAGCAAGGACGAAGTGTCTACTTATTTTAAAAAAATTTATAAACTAGTAAATACTTAGTTTGATACTAAAATAAGATTCTTAGTACTGATAATGAGATTGAGTACTTTAATGAAAAGTCTTGAGCTTATCTTATAAAACCTAGAATCCTCCACCAATTTAGTTGTGTGGATACACCGGAGTAGAACGGTATAGCAAAGAGGAAGAATCCACATCTCCTTGAAATGGCACAATGTTTATTATGGATGTTCCTAAGCCCTTTTAGGGAGATGCAGTTCTTAGTACCGCATATCTCATCAATTGAATGTTTTTGAGAGTTCTCGACTTTTCCACTCTTTTAGAGTTGCTCCCAAGGTTAGTTTATCTTTACTTTATTTCCCTAAAGATGTTTGGTTGTATATGTTTTGTATATGTTTATCAAAGGACTAAGGGAAAGTTGGATTCAAAGGCATTGCGGGGCATGTCTTTATTGGTTATTCTGCTATCCAGAATATGTATAAGTGTAATCATTTTCAGTTCTGGAAGGTGTATGTTAGTATGGATGTCACGTGTCATGATACAGAGTCATATCTTTCTACTCCTTTACCATCTCTTCAAGGGAGCAATGTATTAAAGGGGAGATGCTAGGGGATGGATTCCTTCTGTTGCCTCCCAACTAGTACTTGAGTATTTACCTCCCAATCTAGTGAGGGGGAGCCTCTGGAAGAAACACCTATTCAGGGGGAGTAGACTACTTGTAGAAGATTAAATAGGGATAATTTGAGATGCTATACTCGACACCAAACTAAACATATCACCATCCATGAGCTACAAAGTCAGTCATCATCTCCCAACTTAATTCCTGGGATCTCTTCATGTACACAAGGTAAAAAGTCTCCTTGTAGGAATCATGTTGATGATTGTTATTTACTTATTGCTATTTGAAACGGAGTTTGGACTTGTACCCAAGATACTATTTTTAAGTTTGTTTCTTATGACTTTTTATCTTTTTTCCATTGTGCTTTTGTTTTGTTTGTGTCTTTTATATCTCTTTCTTAGAGTTCGAATGAAGCTCTTGCATAGCCGCAGTGGAAAGCAGCAATGATAGAAAAAATGAGAGTTTTGGGAAAGAATTGAATTTGAGAACTTATGTCTCTCCCAGCTGGGTAGAAATCATAGGCTGTAAGTGGATGTTTACTGTCAAGCAAATGGAGATGGTACAGTTGATAGATACAAAGTAATACTTGTAGCTAAAGGAATTTACTCAGATATATGACAGAGACTGTCAGAAGACACTTGGCCTTATGGTTAAGATAAATTTTATTTGTGTCCTTGTTTCTCGTGTTGTCAATTTGGAATGGAGGATCTACAACAAATGGACGTAAAGAATGCATTATTTCTTGGGGCTTGGAGGAGGACGTGTACATGAATATTCCTTCGGGTTTTTCTTCTCTAGCTACAGAGGAAAAAATATGTAAGTTAAAAAAAACCCTTTTAAGCTTGGTTTGACAAATTGCATAAGACAATGGTCAAATTTGGGTAAAAACAAAGTCATGCAGATCATTCGATATTCATTAAACAAAGCAGTGGCAAGATCTCAGTTTTTATAATATATATTGATGATATGATATTTAAAGGTGATGATGTAGATGAAGTGTCTAAATTTTAAAAGTTCATCTTGCTAAAGAATTTGAGATCAAGGTTTTGGAGCATTTATGCTATTTCTGAGGGATTGAAGAGAACAAATCAAATAAAGACATTTTCATTTTATAGAGGAAGCATATCCTTGATCTTCTTAAGGAAACCGACATGCTAGGTTTTAAACCAGGAGGCTCACTTATTAAGACAAACCACATGCTAAGAAGTAATAAAGGTGATCTAGTTGATAGAGAAAAGGCTTGTTGGGAGACTCATATACCTTTCTCACACTTGTCTAGACATATCATATGTAGTGAGTGTTATTAGCCAATTTATGCGTGTTCCTCGAGTCCCTTATCAAGAAGTAGTTCATTGTATACGGAGGTATTTTAAATCAACTCCATGTAAAAGAATGTTGTTCTTGAAGTAGGATCATATGAGTTAGAAGTTTTCACAGATGTAAACTGGACAGGCTCAATTGATGATTGGAGGTCCGTTATCGGTTAATGTGCCTTTGTAGGAGAAAATCTAGTTGGCGAAATAAGAAGCAACTAGTGGTGGCTAGGTCTAGTGTAGAGGCAAAATACATGGTTATAGTTCATGGTATTTGTGAGCTTATGTGGACGAAAATTTTAATAGAAGACTTGGGGTTTTTCTAGTGGTGAACCTATGTGCTTGAATTGTGATAATAAGGCTGCCATAAGTATTTCTTATGACCTCGTTCAACTTGACAAACCAAAGTATATTGAGATTGACAAGCACTTCATCAAAAAGAAGTTGAATGCTGAGTTGATTTGTATGACTTTTGTGACATACAAAGAATAATTAGTCGATGTGTTTACTAAGGGGCTTAGTTGTAAAATTTTCCATTCAGATGTATGCAAGTTGGCATGAAAGTTATCTATATGCTCTAACTTGAGACGAAGTGTAAAATGTCAAGATATTTTAACTAAGGGGGTAATATTGTAATTTGTAGCTCATTATGAATTAATATATATATATATATATATATATATATTTATATATAAACGGGTAATGAGAGAAGAAATTAGTTAACTCTTATTCTCCTTAACCCTAATTATAATTTGTAGCTTATTCTCTTCTTTTTTATTCTTTGGGCTCTTCTCAACTCTAAACCCTTAAACGTAACACTTTGAGATTTCAAGTGGTCTCTTTCTCTCTCTGTGTTGCGACGTACAATAGTTCTATTATGTTGTAAGATTCATAATATCATAATATGTATCGGTGGCAACATGGAGGCATTCCTGGAGCTGACTATTCTGTTGAAAACATTACTTTGCCCTTGCTTTTAGCTTGACATAGAAGTAGAACCTAAAATCGATATATAGGTGCAAATTTTGAAGTGGTGAAAGGTGGGGTATGATGTACATGGAAGGTATATGGTGGGTCTTCAGAAAATCCATCATGAATTTGGATTGATAGTTAGTATTGAAGGTGAGATCCAAGGGGCAAAACAGTTTGCATGTTGGCAAGATTGTCAGTTTAGGATGAGCTTCTCATAGAGTAATTTATGCATCTTTTTTAAAATAGAGCATCGTAGGTGAAGGATAATGTGATTCACAATAGTGAAGAGAGGCATTTATGATCTGTAGATTGTGCATGATTTGGAGTAAGACAATGTTATGTTCTTCAAAAGCTTCAAGATGTAAAATTGATTTGAGGTGCTTAGAATATTATGGTTTACAAGTAAATTATGAAATTATTTACTGCTGTTTTTTATTTTAAGGTTTTGTCTAGAATTGAGGGGATTGATTTATTTCTAAGAAAAAAGAGTTTGATGCCTTTGTTTCTCAATGGAGGTGGTTTTTTTAACTTGAATGGTATTGAGGAACAAGTCTTTGATGGTATATATATAGTTCCACTAGATGTATGTTTTTAAGAAGGCAACTTACCACTAGGTTTTCCGTCTCCACCTGCTTCTCTTTGTGGTCGGGTGGCCTACCTTGGTCAACTTTTGAATATCTTTTGTCCTAACTTTTCATTATCACACAACATAAACTAGAAATATTTAGAATGGGTTTTTGCGTTCTCTTTTTTGAGTGTATTTGGACGTCAAAAAATGGAAGATTTCTGATAATGTAGAGATGTTGGTTGGGCTAGATTTTGTTTCAATAACTAGCTAAGTTGGCTTTGTAGTTGGAATGCTTAGTATATAAGTGACTTTTCCTTTGGTTGTTGTCCACAATTTTTTGGTGTTAAGGATGAAAGTTTTTGTTTGTTATGATGGAAAAGTAGAAGAATGAAAAGTTGGAAGGATAGATAAAATATCATATTTGATGAGGAAGAAAAATAGAAGGATTATTCTTTTTTTTATCTCACCAAAATTTATCCTTCCAAAATTGAGAGAAAAAATGAATGGAAAATTAGTTATGTGGGTTCAAATGTATGTTATTTCTCGTTATATCCTTTTTTGGATTAATTTTTTTTTTATTGATAATAAAAGGGATCATTACAGTAAGGCCAAATTAAATGTGGACAAGAAGTACAACACAAGCCCGGCCATGACAAAATAAAGGTAAACATACTATAAGCCGCATGATGCCTTCCAACTTGTCTTTATTAAAAAAAAAAGGAATATATTAAAATTCCTTAGACATAGAGGCCCAAAAAGAGGTCAAAACATAATGTCTATCTCATTGTCCCTCGAGCTCTTCACATTTGAATTCAAAATCCTCGCATTCTTTTATTCCAAAGTACCCATATTGTAGAAAAAAAAAACACTATGCCAAATTATCTTCCGTTTACTATTTGCTTCAAACCCCACATCATCCATACAAAACCTCAATACCATGGTCGAAGGAGCTGATAAATAACCTTCTACTCCAAAAGCTCACATTGTTAGAGAGGGTGTAATTTAAGTATTTATACTTCAACGCACCTCTTTATGTGTTGCTAGATTTTGGGCCTAGTACGTGAAAACTCTTTTAATAAATAAGGTAGCAGCGAGATTTGAACATATTACCTCTTGCTTTGATATCATGTCAAACAATCATTTGCTCCAAAAGTTTAAGTTATTGAAGAGGGTGTAACTTAAGTATTTATACTTCAATAAGAGCAATTGGAGACAGTCCCACAAGATCAAAAAACTTATTCTATAATGCTCGTGCCAAAGGACTAGTGATCCATATTCTCAATATCAGCCCTACATATAACACACCATTTGAAGGCAATAATTACTTCTCTTTTGAAGAATCTCATTAGTAATTATCTTTACATGAGAAGCACCTTCACCTTCCAAATCTTCAGTGATGAAATTTATTGTTATGTTCTTAATATTTGCATATATATCTTATTTATCAATTACATATTATGTACATGTTAATTTCATTCATATATACAATGATAAAATATGCAGGTATACTTCTTTCATCCTTCTACTTTTTCATCCATACCAAATACAAAAAAAATCAATCCTTCACACTTTTCATCGTCCCTATCAAACGCAAACGAGAAAACAAAGGATTCCTTCCATCAATGATCGAAAGTGTATCATTCATACTTTCCAACCTTCCTACCAAACACACCATTATTTATAGTATACTCTATAAATCTTTTTGATATCAGAATTATGAGCCCTGTTTTTTGCCTTCATATGCATGAGCTTTCCTTTTTCCCTATCTAAATAAATTTTTTGTCCATAAGTTTACTTATCACCAAGAAAAAATATTATTAAGTCATTCTTTTTGTCGAGGGCTAAGTTTATGTTATTAATTGAATAATCATGTTGCTAACAGTTGTGAATTCAATCGGATGTAGCATGCTATTGATTGAATTTTTACCATCATTTGCAGGGAAGCTGTGAGCTGCGAATTTTGCAAAGGTAAATTTTGGAGTTTAAATTTGACTTTCATTAGTTTCTTATTTGCTTTTCTTTGGTGTTGAGAATAATCATGACCATAGAAAGTAGGCTCTATGTGGATAATGGTAGGATGACAAGTGTTGACCAATCTGTTACGTTGTTCCTTTCAACCTGTAAGAAAATTGTCAGAAATGTTTTCTTTTTGCATATAAAACTAGGTTCCAAACTTTTTGTGGTCGTCCAATTCAACATCTGGACTAACTAGTGTGTTTAACAATCTGGACAATCCAAGTTCTGGGGCCTAGAAAAACATATGAATTAGGTTATTCATGAAAAAAGCATGTGAGCATCATATAATGCACACATCTTTCTTCCATGATGGCACTCGTGAAGTTTCTTGATTGAAGCCATTGATACAATTGAATTGGAATGTGTTGAGTGTTGGAGGACAAATTGAGAAAAACAATAAGTACCAAAGTGAGAGTCTGTGTAAGCTTTAAAGGTGAATAATGTAATTAACTGTTACTTTTGATACCTCTTCTTCATAAAGGAAAATTCCTGTACAATTCATTTGCATGATTCCCCTTGTCCACGGAAGGAATGTCAAGATTTTAAATTGTAGATGTTGATTTCATGAATGAGACTTCTGTATGATGTTCTCAGAAGCAGCAGGACAAACAGAACTTTTTGCAACTTCAGTTGAAGAGATTTTAGGTTATTTATTTATTTTTCTTAGTGGCCTGATATGTACTCTCTTGATCTTTAGTTTTTATGGTTTTCATTGTTCATCATTTTTTTATTCTTAAAGTCATTCATTTATAGTTATCCCTATTTTTTCTGACTTGTGATACTTTTTCTACTACGTGGAAATGAGAATGTTAAGCTGGATCATGGATGTCTAGTAAAATTAGGAAAGATAGAATTATGAACGAATATATTTGTGAAAAATTGGAGATAGCACATATAGAAGATAAATTAAGGAAGAATCGGCTTAGTTGGTTTGGACATATCTATAGACGGCTTATTACGGCACCGGTGAGAAGGAGTGATATGATTGCTATTGACGTAAGCGTAAAGGTAGAAGAAGACAAAAAAATGTCCCGGGTCTTGAGGACTCATTCTGACTAAAACAATGGGTGGGTCTTTACCAACTTAAAAATTGTCGATTTTAGGGAAGCCAAAAATAAAGCCTAAAAGCTATCGTTTTGGAAAGAAGCCTCAAAGGTTTTAGGTTTCAGCCTGCTTGCATGAGCCTTTGGGCTATTCCTAAAAATGAGAGAGGAAAGGGAATAGCCCAAAGGTTCATGCAAGCGCGCTGAAACCTAAAACCTTAGAGGCTTCGTTCCAAAACGACAGCTTTTAGAATTATTTTCAGCATTTTAAAGTCCCTAAAAAATTTTTACAATAACAAAAATAATCCCCCAACTCATTTGGGTTGAAGGCCAGCATATGACGCATTCAAACCCATTCACTAACTTGCGAGTCTACCTTTAAACAAAAAGATTTTGGGTGGTGTCATTTTGCACATCAGTGTGTACGTGTGCGTTTATTGTCTATTGTTCTTATGAGATGTGTCAATGCAAGTTTGCAATTATTAAGTCAAAGCAAGTTAGAGTGTGAATATGCGAGAGCGCATGAGTCTGAGAGGACATGGAGCAGTATCTTCTTGTCAGTTTTTTACTGAAAGCAGTTGTTTAAGGAATTGTTGACAGTTTTTACTCCTCAAGCTGTTCTCCAAATCATCTTATATGTTTTGAATTTCTAATGACCATATATGAAGGACTGAATGATTTCCCCCCTGCAAAATTCACTTAATTCGATCTTCTTCTTAGAATATGCTTTTTAACTTTGATCCTTTAAAAATAGCCTAGAAATATTCATCTTCAAATTGCCTCAACCCTGAATTATCCATCATTGTAAATTGTTTCTTGACTAGCCATCTCTATTTTTTGATTTGCTAGTCATGGAGGATGATGTTCATGTTTCCGATATATACGATATATATGGAAAACTGACAACATAATTTATTTTCTAATAACTTATTGATGTCATTTATACCAGTTTCCCTGTGATTGTGTGTTTAGTTTTCTAATGCCTGGTTCTTGTTTGTTGCTTTAGCGTTTGCCACCTGGATGTGCTTATTGTGTCTGATTGTAAGTTTATCATCTTAGACCTTCGTAAGGGTCAAGACCATCCAGCAAAGTCTATTAAAACAATAATTTGGCCTTAATCTATGCTTTGAATTTCATCTTAGATCCGAAGGCACTACTCAGTGTAGTTTATTTCGTTATTCTTTATTTTTCCATTAACTTCTTATTGTTTTGGTGTCAAACTGGAAAGTTACTTGGCTTGTAGGCTTTGGCTTGTAGGCTTTGGCTTCAAGAATTTTGTTAGCCGTTATCTTTTTCCCAATATTAATACGCTTTATTCATATTGATTTTTCCGTACGAGTTAAGCTAGTTTCACTATTTTCCCAACTGTCTAAATAGGACACAGGTTGTGAGTTTTTGTCCCCCTTTAAGAGACTTTTCCTGACTGAGCTTGATATCTGGAGGTTGTAACAATTTGCAGGATTTTTCCACAAAAGACATGTGAGGAAATCTGCTGGGGCTATCACTGTGGGATGTACATATACATGCCACAAATGTCAGGATGGGAAGTGTATCAAGAATGACATGAAGACGGGCAAATCAGGACTGCAAAAGAGTAAGAAAGCCTCCAAAATCAGCAAGAAGTCGGGCAAAGTGAAACAACCAGCTGCAATGCAGAATAGGAGAAAAGAGACTGTGGTTGTACCACTGCGACGTTCTGCTAGGAACCTTAAATGCGTGTCACTGCCAACCAAAAAGATTGGAAGACGCAAGAAAAGTAGAAAACCCAAATCCAAAAAAGGGATGTCAAGAAAACCAACGAAAGGTTTGTGGCAGAAGAAGAGAACAGAGGCCTATCATACGTACTGGTTGAATGGTCTCTTATTGTCTAGAAAGCCTTATGATGAGCGGGTGATGCATTTTAGGTTTAAAAAACTCATCATCCCTTCGGAACAATTGGATAGTATTCATGATCAACCTAAATGCAGTGTTTGTTGTGAACCAGAATTCACATCTACATTGAATTATATCAGTTGTGATATCTGTGGAGGTAAGTTTCTGTTCTGATTACATCCATTTCTATTTGATGATTTATTGTCTTAAGGATGCTTAATAAGATATTTTTTTTTTGGTGTTTCCACATCCAACTACAAAGTTTCTTTATGTATCTTTTGGATTGGTATTTTTTGTTATTTATCCTTTTAATAGTAGTGTGTTGTCTCAATACTCCATGCAGACTGGTTTCATGGAGATGCTTTCGGGCTTGGAGCTGAAAATATTAGTAACCTTATTGGATTTAAGTGCCACAAGTGCCGCAATAGGAATTCTCCTATTTGTCCTCATTTGCATGTTAGGAGAAGTGATGAGGTACAATTGGGTGGGTTGGAAAATGAATCAGGGACTGAATTTTATGAAAAAGTATCTAATGTTGCCACACTTGCAAATGATTTGATCTTTAGACAGAAGGAATCAAAAGATTTGTTTTTGACTGATGCGTCTAGTCACAGGGAGCAGCAATCTGAGGCTATTACTGACCAGGCACTTGAATTGGATGTGGCAAACGGGCAGGTACCTCTGAAGTTAGCAGCAGTTCCTAATTCAAATGAGAAGGATTGGAGACCACATGACACATTGATGGAGTCCAAGGAGAATACTTTGTTGGATGATAATACATCAAACTGGGTTGCAGAAACGTTGTAAATGGGATGACTATCACAAAAACAATATCACCATTGTCCAAGTCTAATACATACAGAATAGGCATCTTTAGGGGATACCCAAGTGGAGAATGGTTTGGTGAAAACAGCAGCCATCCTGGGATCAGCAGTGCATAAAACTTGAGTTGACTCATCAGAGTTGCCATGACTAGCAATTCTTGCTTCAGGTGAATTACTGGAACGGAGAGGAAAGAGGTGGATTAGAATTGCAGCCTTTACTGACTGATGTAATGAGGGTGCCAATAACATAGTCTAGTGACATTTGTGAATTATTTATTGTCATAGAGATGCTCACTGAATTTAAAGAGCTATACTAGGACGATTCACTTAAATTGGAAAGATAAAGGTTTGATTTCAGGCTTATATCCCGTATGTTTAGTTATTTACTTGATTTAGATGAGAATAATTGCTGCACTAAGTAGGATTATTTTTTAGGTCAGAAATTGTTGCCTTGGCAGCAATGCAGCATCTGGGATTTGGTTAATCGATGGCTTTTATGTGGTGCCCTTTTTTTTGATGGTTTTTTTTTTTGTGGGTGGGGGGTTGTGATTTATTTGCTTGTTCCTTGTTCACACCTGCTGACATGCTTTTTCTCCCTAGTTGACTAGGGTTTCTTCTGTGTCACTTTTTCAAACTTCTGAAGTAGTTCTGTACGTCAGGCAGCTGTGAGGCCTTGGCTTGGAGTAGCCTGACTGGTGCTATCAAGGCTCAACATGGACATGTTTAATATTGTTTGTTGGTAATCTTGCATTTGGCCTTGACACTTGCCAATCTTATGATTTAAAGACGTGATTATCATGCTTTTTTTGTTGATCAAATATTTCATGCTTAGGTACAGAGTTTCATGTGCTATATTTTTATCGAGAAATGAAACTGTTACAAGATTTTGATTGTTTATTGTTTCTTATGTTGTCTTATGTAGTGGTCGTATAATGTTCTTCTATCATACTTGTTTTTCCTTCTGTATGTTATGATAACTAAGTTTTTTTTACATGCTCACAAGGTTAAAATTGTTGTTAATTTTAGTGTAATTTCAATGTGTATACTTACAAGTCTAAATATAGACAAGTTAGCTCATATCCCGTTTATTTATCGCCAGGTTAACCATTTTATATGCTAGTGCTTCTCACATCACATTATTTTGCTCTGCTTCCCTGGATCATCATCAATATGCTGAAAGTTTAGTGTGAGCAATTTATAGGGAGTGTGGCATTATTGACAAAATTTAGATTTGTCCACTCTTGGTTTTCCCTGTTTCTTTTTCCCAGTAGGAAATGATGAGATGTTTTAATAATGTGCTTTGCATTGTTGAAGATGGTTGACTTAATAGAAAATAGAATCGACACTGATCTGGCTATCTTGACAGTCACATGTGGTTGTCGATATGTTGGATTTTGGACATTTCATGCTTCTGGTTCCTGAAGTTGCTTATTTATTCTCAGCTAGTTCTTGCCTCTGTAAAAAGGAATTGAAAGTGGAACCAGTTGCTCCAGTAAGTTTAACTGGACCTTTGGTTTGTGTCTTATTCCAAAAAGTTTTAGAAAGAGAACAAAAAGTGGATTTGGCAATAAGAGAAAAATAGCAGGTAGTCCTATTATTCTATTTGTACTTTCATTTGTGGTTTTTCCCCCTTGCTCTTTATATTTAATGAACATTGACTGGATGCTTTGTTAATGTCTCATGAAAAAATCTGTTGGCAGAGGACAAAATCAGAAATTTATAGAAATATATAGATTAGTGCACAGTTGAGTGCTTGATCATAGGATTTATATTACTGTCAGAAGATAAAGCACAGTTATAATGAAAAATTGCACATTCTTTCAGTGAAGCAATATCAGAACATAGTTAATGTTTGCTAGGGGTTACAAAAAGAGAATATTGTTTTAGTTTGTCAATAGTGCTGAAATTTATGACTTCTTAGTATTCATGTTGAGGAATAGGATGGCACACTTAGAAAGGTATAACTTGATTGGCTAGTGGACAAAGACAAACTGCACATTCACAGCTGGAAGTTATATAATTTTGGGTGTTCTCTTACTCGTAAAAAAGCTTGAAACATTGGCTTAGTTCTTCGAGAAAGTGGGGCTCTTAGGGACTTTTAATTAGAATCAAACTCACCTTAAGAGATCTTACATGCATAACCCTATAACTGACACTACCTTGACTCTTTCCTATCATATCCAATATGCTCTGTAGTCATCTTGATAAATCTACACAAAACATAAATCATTAAATATTTGATAGTTCTATAGTTTCTGATACCTTTACCAAATCCTAATACCAAAATAGCTTGCTGGCTTCTATGCACACTGCCTTCTCTATGACCAACTTCTCTTTCTTGGATGGATTTATAGAAATCTAATTATTCATGAAAAGAACAGATGAATATATGGCAACTCGTTTATGTACCATGTCAGAAAGTCACTATCTAAGAAGCCTGAAAGAGGGAAAATGTGTACGTAGTTCCTTATTTTGAAGTATTTCTCAATACCTAAATTAAGGAACTAACAAAGAGCAATAAATATTACAATCCAAGAATACTAAGGAATTTAAGGCTTTCAATCATCTCGTTAACAGGCTGGCAGGGCCTTCAAACTTATGGGTAATGATAGAGGGAGCCAGTCTTAGCAGGGTCCTATGAAAAGAACTGAAAATTTTAAAATGAGAGAGGAAATGAACCTCACAATGGCCATCTGAAGATGGCATAGTATCATCCGGACTTACTAGCAATGTTAGTTCATATTATCCCTCTGGGCGTAGATTCGAACTGAGAACCTTACGTTTGTCAACCCGATACTTTTACTTTTACACTAGGCAATGGCCCTAGGTTTTAAGGATCGTGAGTTTCCATAAAATCTGGTGACTAATTTTGCCGACCATGGTAGGTCGAACAATATAACTTCCAGCTTCCAAGCTTACTACCAAATGTGTAATTTCCAACTCAATTTTCAGAAAACCAAATATCTTATTAGTCTTTGAGGACTGACGGCAGTTTTCCAAAGCTCTTTTTGGTTCAGGTTATTAGTTTTCACCCTCCCACCCTCTGTTGGTAACAATTTAATGGGCTATCTTTTCTTTTCTGGACTTCCCATAAGTTTGTCTGCTTTGAAAAGTCCATGGGCAGGATTTAATAACTTTCCTGCATTACCTTTCGGATGGATAGTTTTTTTTTTTTTTTTTCCGCAAGTTTTGATTTGAAGTGTTTATAAAATGAAAAGAATCCAAATGCATTTATAGCTTTCCTAATAATCGACTCTCTGAAGTTTGAACTGCTAGTTTTGGAAATTTATAATTCCCTACTAAGTGTGAATGCATTGAATGTCGTCCCTCGATAGGAGAAACATTGATTCACAATGACAAGTATTTATAGAATGAAAAGTATCGGGATGCATTTATAACTTTCCTAATAATTGATTCTCTGTAGTTTGAAATGCTAGTTTCGGAAATTTATACTTCCCTACTGAGTGTGAATGCATTGAATGTTGTCCCTCGATAGGAGAAACATTGATTTACAATGACCTGGAAAGTCAGGATAGAGGAAGTATTTATTTGTTTCCCTTTTGTGTCTTACTGAATATCCGCTGTGGTTGGAGTATGGATTTGTAGAAACTTATCTGAAACACTTTCTCTTGCCTATTAACCTCCAAATTCATACACCTTGGTATTCTTGTTGCTTCTTCTTGAATGGCACCTCTGTTGATAACCATCAGTTCTCATGTCTAATTTCCAATGTATAATGAGTTTGCTAGTGATTGTTGGTCCTAACTGCAAAATATCGTTTCTTGGAAGAGAGAGGAAAGAGTTTGGTACTGAATCCAACGTAGTGTTCTCATTCAATTGGTTGTTGGGGTAATCCTGGAAGCAGTCTAAAGCATCCCACTTGTCTGAAGTTGGTCAAGACCTTTGAAAATTAGTAGACACAATGCCTTTAGGATCTTCATGGTGTCTTTCTATGTCCTGTTATTTTGGAGGCTGATATACTAATTCTGGTCAAAATGTGCATCTTCTCCAACATTTTGGCTTGTGTGCATTTGCTCTATTGGAGTTCTGATTTCTTTGAATATTTTGGTCATTTGATGTCCAAGGATTTAATGCTTTTCTTTTTCTTTTTCTTTTTTACCATTACTAATGGTTTCATGTGGCTTTAATTTCATTATTTAATACAAAAAATGCCGCAGATTGCAGCCCAAAGTAACTATCACTAATGTTTATGTTATTTTCATTGTGGCATTTTACTCATTTCTCGTTCATTATCTGTTGTCTATAATAGACAATATCTGTGTGCCTATGTACAGACCTGCATGTGGGTATGCAGCTACTATATCTATACCATGTGTGCATGTGTCAGACAATGTATTGGGTGATTAGTATTGTTTGAACAATAAACTATTTAATGGTGCAGTCATAAAACTATTGGGTTATCAACTGTAAGGTTGCAAGTTGAGGGTTGCTGCTCTGTGCAAATAATGTGAACAGTTAGTTTCGTGCTCAATCCCCCCTTTCAACACCTTGGTTAGTGGGGACCCAAGGATCAAAATGTCGTGTCGACACGTCCGAAACGTCCGAAACGTTTCGGAATTTCAACACTCCGAAACGAAACAGTAGTTGAATCACAAAATTCCAGTGTTTCGGTCGAAACGGTACTGTTTCGGACCGTTTCGGTCGAAACGGCATTGTTTCGAACCGTTTCGATCGAAACAGTACCGTTTCGACAAAACAGTGATATATTCGGTTCATTATGAATAATTATATTTAATACCCCATTATAATTACATTTAATACACACTGTAATTACATTTAATACTCACTATAATTATATTTAATATCCCACTATAATTACATTTAATTCCCACTGCTCTTCTGTCTTTTATAATTTTTTTGTTATAAGAATAAATAATTACACTTAATACCCTACTATAATTATATTTAATACCCATTATAATTATATTTAATACATACTGTAATTATATTTAATACCTCACTGCTGTGCAAGTTTTTTGCTTTTTTTTTTGTTATAAGTATTAACAATTACATTTAATACCCTAATGTAATTATATTTAATACCTACTGTAATTACATTTAATACCCACTGCAATTACATTTAAATTTTAAGTATACATAAGTATCATTAATTTAATTTGATACCCTTCATTATTAGTATTATAATAAAATAGTATTATTAATTGGATTATATTACCGTAATAATATGATTTGGAGTAACTATTGTCATCATATTTATGTCACATATGGAGTTTCTCTAAGTAGCTACCCAGAGCCTACACCGATGTATGAGCCTGCTCGACACTCCACAGGGAATGGATGTAACCATGTAAGTATGTACTCATTAGCATTTCATGT